GGGGTGAATGGAAGAAGGAACAGGGCAGACTTCTGGTACTTTCCTTTCCCTGTGGTACTGGTACAGGTGAAAGCTGGAGAGTTTAGAGGATGTCCTATTTGTTTTATCTGAAAGAATGCTGACATATTTAAAGCAGAATACACATCAGTGGCATGAAGGGAAGAAAACTACATGAAACTTCATTTTAATTTCTGTTTTGGTGCCCTTTCTCTGTCAGGGCTACTGAAAACCAAGCAACCTTAGTGCTCTGACACAGACATTAAGCTCCTCTTTGCCCTGGCTTAAAAAGCAAAAAGACTGATTTGGCGTAAGACACTTTAAAGAAAGTAGTGAGTGTTCTGACTGAAATAGTCTGAGCGAGTATGAGGGCAGAATGCTGCAGAGGAAGTGCTTGGGGAAAAATTGTTCACCTGAGGTTTTAGTCATTTAGGAACTTGTCTGTGCTGTTTTATGTATGTACAAAGCTCAGGAGTCCTGTGTTTTCCTGATTGTGTTTCAGGATATGAAATATTATACTTCATGTTGTCCTGATCACTGCTATGCTTGTCAGTAAAATACTGTACCTTGCGTTCCAGTGCTGTGCTGGCTTGAATCGCACAGAAGGGTAGGTATCTCATCCTGTGAATAACCTGCAGTGTATTGCTATGGAATAAACACTGCAGTGCCCGTAGGAATCCTGATAGTCTCCTTGCTAACACCATGCGCAGAGTTCTTGTGGCAGCTCAAAGCAAAGGCAGGTGGGAGGTTTTCACACTGTCTAAATACAAGGCTCAAAAAAATAAAAGCTCTTGTGAGGAAATGCTGGTTCTGAACTCTTGACAATTTTGACGTGCTTCTGCTAGTGTGTTTGCTTTGTTGCGGTGAAGGTGAAATTAGGTGGCTGTACTACAGTTCCATCTCACAGAAGTCTTTAGTATATCAACTCAGGGACTTACGTTGGCTTATGCACATGGCACATTAACCAACCTTACACTGCTTGATTGAAAACTGGCACCAGTTATCTGTCAGCTGAAATGAAAAATTCAGTATGTGCAGTAATGTCTGATCACTCTACAATTAATCTCTTCTCTTTCTATCAGATTTTTTCTAGTATTTGCATTAGTATTTACCCCACCATCCCTTAAAATGAAATGCTGTGCTCTGTGATGCTATATCCCTAGGAACAAAGAATAAAAAAAATCAAAGGCAATACAGGGAATAAGAGATGTGCAGCTCAAAACACCTTTGCAAGTAAGGCAAGGGTACAAGTACTGCTACACATTCTACTTTTAAATACCTTTAATCTTTATAGAAGTGAAATTTGAATGTATCTGTCTTATGTTTGTGAGTAGAAAACCTATAGCTGAGAAAGTACTACTGTGCATGTTCTTCTGTAAGGCTGTAATACACCAGAGGAATGTTTCCTGCAAATGATTGTTTAAAAGAGAAAAGTATCAGGATTTTACAGGCTCTGCCCTAGTTCCAGTGACCATTTATAGTCAGGCTAAATGGTCTTGCTTAGATGTCTGTAGAAAATTGAGTCTTTTTGCCTGTAGAGTGTTTTATAGATAATGAGGCAAACTTCCACCTTTTTATTACTTGTTAGAATAATTTAATGGACGTAAAGGAAATTTTCCAGACTTAACAGAGATGATGTGTAAGTCATCTCATCATCTCCCCATGTGCTACAGATACAAAGAGATTTTCTTTCTGGTTACAAGCAAGCAGAACAAGAATGTCTAGGAGACATCTGTGTAAGGACTGCAAGATAAGCAGAATATGCATCCTGATTTACTTCTGGTTATAACAGCAAAAATCTAGAGGTTTTTGCTAAGCACTTTCAACTCTTTTTTAGGCTCTGCAGGAGTTTCTTTCATCATTGTCAAGAGCAACCAAAGTTAATCCTGGTGAGAGGTGTAAGTCTTATGAACAAGCTGTCTTCTGCCAGTGAGGATTACTGAGAGCTTCATCTCCATAGCAGGCTGTGTTTGTGTAAGGCTGGGCCTTTCTAAGGCAGGATTGTAGATGGTTAGGTTGGTGGTCTGCTTAGCTCAGTATTTCGTCTCAAATCATACAAGTAGAATTTGTCCAAGCCAAGAAGCATGTAAGCAAGAAAGCATGCATACAGTGATCTTTTCCTGATTATAATGTCCTAATGAACGAAAGTGTAAAAACATCCCAAGCCAAGCACTGTATCAGAATCACTTTGCAATAGCTATGGATCTTCCATTAATAGATCTAAATTCATTTGGTTTTGGTGTGTGCTGTTGTTGGTTTGTTTCATTTTGTTTTGTTGGGTTTTTTGTTTGTTTTGTAGTTTTTGTGTGTTTTGTTTTGTTTTTGTTTTTGTTTTTTCCTTCCTGAATGCCACTAAGATTTTGGTTTCCACAGTATCCTGTGATAAAGAGTTCATGATTCCATCCTAAACCTTTTTCTCCTAATGGATCTTATCTGTTGTTCTTGTGTTCTCAGCTGCTCAAAAGGCAACTGGACAGAAATTTCTGCTTTGTAATACGGAAAGGACTGAGCGGCACGTAATTCTTTGATCCTCTTGAAAACTCAAGAGAACTATTTCCTGTTTTTTATTTTCCTGACAATCTCATTTTTTTTGAAGGTGCTTCAGCTTAGCATAGCACAGTCTTACCAGGCAGTAAGTAAATTGAGATGAGCTTGGTCTGGCTTGAGACCTGTCTAGTCTACTGTATGTCAGCTTTTGTAACCCATCAGGTAACCTTATCCTGAAGTCTCAATTTCTGGTGAGGAATCAGGACATTTGGCTAGATTAAATTTAATAAAGCTGCTGGATCTGAGCCAGACTTGCAGCTGATGTGTATGGCTGTTAAGTTACATTTGTATACTCTGATTAAATTATTTCATTCTAATTTTACATGCTTATACTGTTCAAAAGCATATTAAGCTGTTTGTAAAACATAATGATTTGTACCTTTCCACTTTGAAAGTTTGCCACTTCCAGATGATGTTTATGGATTTTTATAATAATGCAGCTCCTTTTTTTCCCCTCACTTCTGTTCCTTTTATGCTGGTGCCTTTGGCTGTGTAAGAAATAAGGAAAGGAGCCTGTTACTGCAAAAAAGAACTTAAATGCATGTCTGAAAGTGATTAGAAACTTGTACAAGTTTCAAATAATCACTGCAGCCAGGAGGAATGCACATACTCTTCTCACAAGCTTATAACCATAGGAAAAAAGCAGTTTTGATGTAGGTACGATGACCTTTTCTGGCTCATGTGGTGTATCACAGGAGGCTGTACTGACATTCCCATGTCCGTCTCTTGTACTTTATAGACCATTAAGGCTGCTGAAATAACAGACATTCTTGACCAGTAGTTCTGTTTTTCTATCTAATTTCCATTTCTCTTGTATTAAAATACAGCCAGGCTTGTAACAGTTCCCTTTGAAGCATACTGGCTTGTAGTATTGTGTCAAATTAATTTTGACGAGTCGTGACTCTTCAAGTCAAAAAGGAGTGTTTTATTCCCAGTATGAATGAACTTCTGGGTGAGCTGGCTGGGTGTAGTATGCATGATCCCTTGGTCAGCTGACAAAGAACACTTGGAAGAGAAAAGTTACAGATGCTGGTGTGTTAGGGAGCTTCGGCATATTGTAGTGAGTGTATTCCACTTGATATTATGCTTTACAGCAGTAGTAAAAAGCAGCATAAAGCTAAAACTGCATTTTAAAGTGTGCATAAGGAAGAAGGAATCTTGCTTTGAAGCTGTTGAAATAACTTCTGGGAAGGATTTTAAAGTTGATATTCCTACCTCTTCCCGCTTCTCAACAGAAAAAACACTTTTGTCCTGTTTTGCAAATGAAAAATCATTAGGAAACTTCTGTTTACACAAACTTTAAGAGAAAGCCTACTGTGTGCCAAAATCTGTACACTGCAGAGTGGAGAAACCACAAAGAAAGAGTTTGATGTTCGATCAACATTGCATTACATGCCCCAAAACTAGAGTGAATATAGTGGTGGGGTTTTGTTTTGTTTTGGGTTTTTTTTTTAGCCAGCAGTTACGCTTTAAAAAGTGGAGATGCAAGTTGCACAGATGGACAGAAAGAGGTGTGTTTGCACACTTACTATGTATTTTTTAATCATTCTGTGTGATTGGCACTGTATGATGCCAAATATGTGGTGATGTTGGGAGACAGAGTGCTTATACTACCTGTTTTGCTTGTTTCACTGGTCCTTTGTGTGCATTTTGTGTGGAAACCCTGCGATATCTGGAGGGAAACAATGCACTCAAAATCAGTCAGATGATTCAGATGGAACGGAGAATACAGGGTATAACAGTCATAGGTGGTGTTCCCTTTCCCATCGCATGGGAAAGATACTGTCTTTTCAGTTAGGTACCTTTGAGACCCTTGGAGGAGAAAGGGACTGTAACTCGCTTTGCAAACTTCTGTGCTTTGCAAAGTACAGAAACATGCAGCACTAGAAAGGTTATAAAATGTTGGCTTCAAGGTTTTTGAAAGATCTTAGTCTTTTAAACCAGTATTTTTATTATTCTTCCCCACCCACACCCCCCAAAATCATGGGATATATTATATTTAAAAAGCTTTCTGTGTTTCTGTGGACAGCGTTGCTAAAAGTGATGGTAGATGTGTATTTAGGACTTTTAATCATTTCTCTCACTGGGAGAGTTGTGTGAGGACAGTTGTATAACAGTAAAATAACGTGTTGCTTGACTGTGGAGCTTGCTTTGGGTCTGACAAACTCAAAAAGAACCTTACTTGCTTGATGCTGGGAAAGTGACATTTATCACACCTACTGTTCCTATGTGGAATGCCCCTGAATGAACTGTGTGAGTTTTAAGTTCTTGTAGTTACAGTGACTGAGTTGTAAAATAAACAACTGCATGTGTATTTTAAAACTCTCTGTAAGCCCCTGCAGCCCCTATAAAGCTGTTATCTAGCAAAGATAATGAGTCAATATGCATGCTTAAAGAAGAATCTATAGATTTATAATTCCTGCTCTGATCTATATATATATTTATTTTTTTTTTAGTTCCTTGGCATAGCGTTCCTTGGGATTGGATTGTGGGCATGGAATGAAAAGGTAAGCTGAATACATGACCAAATTCCGTGTTTTCACTCTTTCTCTGTTTTTGTGTTTGTTTTGTTGGGTTTTTTTTGTTTGTTTGTTTGTTTTTAATGAAATATTGGAATAGTAATATGCCAAACATTTTATGTGTCTACGCACAATTTCTACTGAAACAAAATCAAGTCTGTCAAATAAAACCTTGGCTCAGCTCACCTAGAGGAAGCTCTTCAGCATCTTTCCCAGGAATGCCTTGGCAGCAGATTATAGCTGACACTTGCACATGAAATAACCATTTCAATCTGTGCATGCTCAAACTGCAGGTCAGATACTAGAACACTCTACTGGAGGCAGTATTGGCAGTGTGTCTCTGGATGCACCAGAGACCATGTCCCCAGGAATGAACAGGGAGCCTACATGTCCAAGAGGGTAGCTTCCTGAAAACAAGCCTCCTTGGCATTGCCTTAACATAGCAGCATGCTAATTGCTGTTCCTCTTAAAAATAAACAAAAAAGAAAAAAAAAAACACCCTAAAACCCAAGCCAAGCCTGAGACAGAATAACTGTTGTTTTTTTTTTCTTGTTCAAATAAAGCTGTCCACTGGAACACTGTGTTGCAAGACTGTAAAATCAACTTTGAAATGGAAATAAAAGGGCAAGGGAAAGAGAAAGTATTTGTGAACCAGAGCCTAATTTTTAGTTTGCTTATTGCAAATATTGTTGAGAAGATAAAATGTTAAGTCACTGCATACTGACTTGTTTTGTATATTTTGGGTTAGTGGATGAAGAGTTTGCTTGCTAAAAGACAACAAGTAAAATCAAAGCCAGAGTTTCCTTCTCGTTTAAAAGATTGAAAATAATATAGGCTGCTAAGTGGTGTTATGAAATTCAGTTATATATTTTTTTTCCTGTAATGGAAAACATCAAGTAAATTACAAATTTATGTTCACTTAAGGCATAATAAGTAGCACTTGCAGCAGAACAGATAACACATTGGAAGCACTGGAGTTTTGCCACTAAAAATTCAGGACAAATTTTGCTGGTTCAGAAGTGAGTTGCTAACTTAAATTCTAATTGTTCTGTGCATGTGGCTTGAATGTAGGTAATTGCAACTAGTAATGGGATATTAACTCACATATTACACACGTATATATATGCATATTTGCATGCCATATGATACTCGTGTTGGATTGAATAGGCTTGGAAAGGTGCTGTGATTTTTTTTCATTCAGGAAAGATGTAAAAGCATATTTTATTTGATATTGTGAGCATACTCACAGAGTTTATGTCTATGTCTAAGTTCCAGAGAACTTCAGTTCATAGTGGCTTTTTAGAAGATATTTTAACACTTTTGTATCATTTCAGTAGGTAACAGAAATGATTCCTCTTTAGAATGAATGAGCTGGTAAAGGGAAAACTGGTATAGTCTAGTCTTTAAAATATGCTAGTCCTGCAGCTTGAGGGTGTTCTGGCAGAATAATGGTTTGTTAAGTTTTATGTATTTTCTATATGAGAAAGCTTCCTCCCCCATCTGTTATCAAGTCTGTTACCAACTAATTTTAAAACATTTTTAATCAGATCATGAAAGCAGAAGAAAATGCTATGTTGTTCTTAAGCAAATAAAGCCACTGAGAGCAGTTTAGTATGCCTTAGCTCAGGCTCCCATGTGTAGTAGGGTTTTCTGTAGAAATGAATAAAAGTTTACTGTTTTAAAGCACAGGTCCTTCCTTGAAAATTAGTATCTCTTCTCAGTTTCTCTAACTGCTGTGTCCTGCTGTGCTTAGTGTGGACTCCTGCAGTTCATGGGTGTATAAACCAGAACGTATAGCTGAACTGCAGGACTCCTGAACATAAACTTGATTTTTGTAGCAAGAATTATTGAAAAATGGACTTGCGTCAAGCCAATTTGAGGCCTTTCCTTCACTCAGCTCTCTGGGGGAGAGGCAATGGCTAGAAGCTGCAGTCAGCAAGATCAAGTTCCAGAGACTCATAGGCCCCATGCAGTTTAGGGGGGACAGATCAGTTACATCCCAGACAGAGCTGTTCTTCCTGCAGCTGGGGAGTTGGAGGTCAAAGCCAAGTAGGTGAAGCCTAAGACTTGAGAGATCTGTAATTTAACTGAAAAGTACTTGTTGAGCTAGACTGCTTTTTGCCTAAGGCCAGCCTGGATATCCTTGGGCATTGTGGGCTGTTGTAGTGGTATACTGTAAGGCAGCAAAGCAGCTTTGCAGAGTGGAACCAAGTGTCCTGCTGTACGCCAGGTCAGATATGAGCAAGTGCTGTGTCCTTGTGACAAAGAAGGCTAACAGTGTCCTGGGCTGTATTATGAGCGTTGCCAGCAGATTGAGGGAGGAGATTCTTCCCCTCTACTTAGTGCTGGTGAGGGCGCACCTGGGCCAGTTCTGGGCTTCCCAGTACAAGAGAGACATTGACATACTGGAGAGTTCAGCAAATGGCTGCTATGTGATTAAGAGACTGGAGCATTTCTCTTACAAGGAAGGACTGAGAGAGAGAGCACTGTTCAGCATGGAGAAGAGCAGACTTGAGGGATCTTTAGGTATATAGATACCTGAAGGAGGGAGCCAGGCTATTTTCAGCGGTGCCCAGTGATAGAGGCAATGGGCACGTTCCTGAACATCAGTATCACACAGTTTGCCCAGAGATGATATGGAGTCTCCCTCTGGAAATATTCAAAAGCAGGCTAGGCATGGTCATAGGAGCCAGGTTTAGGTGACCAGATGACTTCCAGAGGTGCCCTCCAAGCTCAACTGTTCTGTGAAGACTGCTGCTATCCCAATGAAGTAAGTCTTTATCAAAGTTGAGCTTGGTGCTGCTATTGTATAATCTATTAAACAGAAATCTGTAAGGGTTTTTTAAGGATTGGATTTTCAGAAAGACTACTGTAAACTGATTTTGGTGGTGGGGAGGATTTTGATACCTTGTCATGAATCATGTAGCTTTATATCCAGCTGTGTTGCTTTATAATGTGGCCATCAACTTATATATACTTTTGTTACTTCACAGAACCTTTCTAAAATAACAAGAGAGTGTGCCAGGCCACATTAAAAATGCAGGATGTAAAGAAATAATCCACATTTAACAGGAGCCCCATTTGCTGCCTGCTAAAACCAGTTTGGGGTAGACTTGTGGGTTTGGTGGCTAGTTTCTCTTTTTTATGAAGTTGGCTTGAATTCTGTCCTTTAAACTTTGTTGTAAAGAATTAAAAAAGCATGCTATACAGTCTCATGACCTTCCTTACAGCCTCTGCAGGGAGGCAAAAGAGCTCATTTGTCAAATAGGCAATAGAATTGGCTTGACAGCCAGTCAGGCAGCCTGAAACAAAAACTAGGCAATTAGCATTCTGAGTCATGAACCTGAAAGAGATGTGGGGGGTGGAATGGGGCAATAAACTCGGAGGATGAATAAAGCTATCTATACATGGATGCACTATATAGCTCACAATCTCACAGTGTTTTCAAGCGCATTAGACTTGAGCTTGTACCATAAAAAAGTTCATCTGTGGCAGCTGATTTTCACCTCATGACCCCCAACAGTGACATGAACATTGTTAACATACAAAGAGTCTGTTCTAAGCCCAAGCAACTTACACTACCTTTGCTCAGCAGCAGGGGAAAGATGTTTATATTTCACTGGCTCTTTTTAACCACTTTAAGTCATTTCTTCCATTGACTTTTTAAAAGTAAACTAGGCTTGAACAAAATGTCTATTTCCTTCCTTCATTGTATGTACTACGTAGTGTGGTCTTAGGGCTTTATTGGGAGTGTTCAAAGTATGATGCCAGTAGGTACTTGGGAAAATAAGCTTCCTGGTTCTCTCATTACCTGCAAGAGATTTATATTACAGAGTCCTGACACAAAGAGGTAAATTGCTGTTACGTCTTCTGAGACCTTATAAGACTGTCCATTGAGAGGAAGTTCTTAGAAGAAAAGCACTATGCTTTTGGGGTATACTTAAAGTAGGAGGTGGCAAAAGGCAGAGTTACTAAAGTGGGGAAAAAAAGTCTGCAGATCCTTGCAAAATTTGTTTATTAGTCTTAGTTACTGTATAAAATGGAGTGAAATGAAGAGGGAGAAGTGGAAGAGGTTTATTATGTGCATAAATTCAGCTTCGAGGCTTTTGTTGTTGTGTCAGTGTGACTAGAATACACTCATAGAATCATAGAACAGTTAGGGTTGGAAAGGACCTTAACATCACCTAGTTCCAACCCCCCTGACATGGGCAGGGACACCTCACACTAAAACATGTCACCCAAGGCTCTGTCCTACCTGTCCTTGAACACTGTCAGGGATGGAGCATTCACAGCTTCCTTGGGCAACCTATTCCAGTGCCTCACCACCCTTACAGTAAAGAATTTCCTCCTTGTATCCAACCTAAACTTCCCCTGTTTAAACCCATTACCCTTTCTCCTATCACTGCAGTCCCTAATGAGGAGTCCCTCCCCAGCATCCCTATAGGCCCCCTTCAGATACTGGAAGGCTGCTGTGAGGTCTCCATGCAGCCTTCTCTTCTCCAGGCTGAACAGCCCCAACTTTCTCAGCCTGTCTTCATACGGGAGGTGCTCCAGTCCCCTGATCATCCTCGTGGCCCTCCTCTGGACTTGTTCCAACAGTTCCATATTCTTTTTATGTTGAGGACACCAGAACTGCACACAATACTCCCGGTGAGGTCTCACAAGAGCAGAATAAAGGGGCAGGATCACCTCCTTTGACCTGCTGGTCACATGCCTTTTGATGCAGCCCAGGATACAGTTGGCTTTCTGGGCTGCAAGCACACACTGAAGCCGGCTCATGTTCATTTTCTCATAGACCAGCACCCCAAGTCTTTCTCCGCAGGGCTGCTCTGAATCTCTTCTCTGCCCAACCTGTAGCTGTGCCTGGGATTGTTCCGACCCAGGTGTAGGACCTTGCATTTGGCATGGTTAAACTGCATGAGGTTGGCACCAGCCCACCTCACAAGCATGTCAAGGTCCCTCTGGATGGCATTCCTTCCCTCCAGCGT